CATTTCCCACGCAAGATGTGGACAAATCTGAATGAAATGCAAACAGCAGTTATTTTGAATAAATATTCGGGCATTCACCTAATAATTTTCACTCCAAAACTTTGTCGAAACAAAACATAAGATAAAGAAACGTAATCACATTTGATCATTTCGTTTGCAAATCATTTAGAAACGTTCACGGTACGCCTTCTACCTAGGCAAAATAATATTTTAAGAGTAGTAAAATAACATACCATTACATCATTATATTGCAAAAATTTACTGAAGACGTTATCAAAATTTACAAGAGTTATAAACCACGTTCCGCATGAATCAAAAACACTATCTCTAAAGACATACCAGTGAAGCAACTGTTTGACCGATAGAGCCAGCTGCCGATAGATACGCGAATGTTGCGGATCGTTGCCGAGGTGGTGCCGACTCGGCCAAAATATGATACATTGTTGGCAGACCTAAAATGACTGAGCGCAATGAATAACGCTAAATTTCTCTTCAATACCAACAAAATTCAATACGAACATAAACCTGAGTTAAATGAAAATAGCGATTCAATATCACTCACCAAGACCTTCACCTAAGCCCAAAACGATCCGCGTGAAAATGAGCATATAAAACGATGATGCTACAAAGGGTGTCAGCAATGTACTCAACGACCACAGAAGTACCACACCCAATAGGAGACGACGACCACCGAGTTGTGAACCTGCACAACTTCCGATTATCTGCAAACCTATCGATCATTTCAGATTTCATTTTACACTTATCAAATTTCAGCCAATATCATTACATCACCACAAAACTGAATGATCTTAAGCACAAATCCAATGAATCTTCTCATTGAAGACGTGGTCTTTCCATAATATACCCTTTCAATCGAGAAATTCCGATTCATGACAATAGGGTGCATAATAAATTAGCGATAAATACAACAGATGAATATAAAGAAATGACCATCAATTAGTTATATTGACTGAAGTAATCTTGATCAAGCTTCAAAAAAGAGATGAATATCTCACCTGCGAACTAATATAACCAGCTGGAAATGCACTCAGAATCCATCCTTGTTGAACTAAACTGTATTCGTAATCCGAAGATAAACCTCCGATGGCGATCGGCATAATCACTCGATCTGCACTGTTGATGAAGTTCGCGAAAGCACACAACCAAACAGCACTTCCCAACCCCGAATCCCATGGTAACCAACTGAAATTTTATGTATTCATGAAACTATAACTCAATTTTCCGAAAATAATCTACCTGAGGATAACATTCTTCAATCTCAATTCTGAGAATAAATTTCGACCAGCAATAAATTTCCACCAGGATTTCTGACAAAATTTTTAAACGTTATATTTTTTAATACTAAAAACAGCGATCAGAACATCAAAATTTTGAATTTTTTTACGATTACGAGACCGTTAATGAAGTGAACATACAGTTACACGTGCTGATTATGCAAACATAAAATCACGGAATCTTTTGTCCGAATAAAATAAAATGAGAATAAAATGTGAAATCAATGAGAAAAGAAACCTCGTTGTAGCTACGACTGGACTTGATGGTAGGGGAATTTTTACTGGTTCTGAGCTCATTATGGTCAATAGGTTCTGATTTTATGTCATTACACCTCAAATTCATAAAATAAATGTAATATTAGAGATAATACATTAGTAACA